AAATTTTCCCTGCAAGTGATGTATAATTGAAATGCCAGCAGCTGTCATGAAGCTGTGTGTCATACACACTGCCTCAACTCCAGTGTTGAATTTGTTTCTTCATCTTCATTGGGCATCAAGGCTCGTTAGCAAACAGGAGGTCAGATGAAGCTGTGGCCAGTCGGCGCCCGACCAAACCTGCCGGTCATTCTCCCTCAAAAACTCTTTTCACTCGGGAAATTACTGATGCATTTGTTCCAGAAAAGAACATCTCCAGCTGTTAAATAAACACTGGGATCTCGTGCAAATCAAACAGTAGGTTGACACGATTTGTGCTTTTTGTGAAAAGAATAGTCAGCAACAGTTTTTGTTCCAGAGTAAAAATAGTTCAACAGCCAAAGGCCAGATTAGAACGGATGCAGATCCAGGAATATTATTTTTCTTTAACATTGCGAGATAGAGCTATTTTCAAGTGATTTAGTGAATGTAAATGTGGTTTCATAAGGGGACTGCCTTGATAGAGGTATGAACCCTCAAAATCCAATACACCCTTTCCTCTTTAATAATTTCTGGAAAATCTGACAACACTAAGGAACATCCTTGTAGATTCAAAAAGCTGCACTCTGGCACCGTTTCAATTTCCAGGAAATAATATATGTACTATTCTTGAAATATATAAGTGCCTATCATCGTGTGCAGCGATCCTCTGCAGCGTAGCTGCACATCTCATCCTTGCCTCTGCTATTTGACATCCTCTGCTCTCCACTCACTGTTCAAGCCTCATTCATTACCACCGACGAGTAATCAGTCTTTACTGCTGGAGCAAATGTCTCCCCCAGGACAGATCCCCCGCCGCCCGCCTACTATTGAAATTAAATTGGATTTCATTACTAAGCTCCTATTAATTCAGAGAAGTCTTGTCTGTTGATGGAGGGTCGACTCCAGCAGTTGGTTTCCTCCTCCTCTCTTTCTCTTCTCTGTGATCATAGAGCACCACAACTCTAATTACAGTCATTTTTGGAAGGACTTAAGAGTTTTCAAATAAAAGTTGATGATTCCTTCTGTTATTCAACAACAACTAATCAGATGGAGGCAGATGTATTTTTTCTGATGATGGATAACATCCTGTTTGTCCTGTTGGCAAGGACTCCACGAGCTTTGGGTTGAAAAAGAAAAGTAAACAGAGGCAGAGGGAGCTCCACTTAAATAGAAATGAGTTTTTAAACACACCCCTGAATCTTTCATGTATCCTTTCATTTTTCTGTTAATTACTCTGTGGATCATTCTTTTTATCGGGACAGCGATCTATTCCTCACAGACTGAATCTCTAGAAACACACCATCAAAGCTCAATGCATTCATGAAGAAAAACAAATTCACATTTTTCTTTTTAACAGCGATTAAAACAAGGGTTGTAAATCGATTCATGTTAAATCACACGTGTCCAATCACACTGTCTTTAAGTGTGTGAGTGAGTGTCAGTGCGAGAGACGAGCTGAATTATTTTCAGTCTTGCTTTTACCATATATACAAAAGGTTTTTTTTTCTTCTACTAAGATACATTTCCATCTGCTCTTGGTTCTCTTCAGATCGTATAAATCTTTYGCCTTTTACTAAAGATTTCCGTAGAGAGGACCAACAAGAATCCATCTCAACTTTCTGATGCCCTGCTTCCCTGCGGGGCTTAAAAAGAAAAAAGATAAACTTCCATTTATGCTCGACCTAACACAAAATTGAAGAGTTTACATTTCATATCCTATTCCTATTGTACCTGTAACCCAGAATGAAAAAAAAAAAACATCTCACCAAACAAAACAAACATCTGAATCAAAAGCTGAAATGGCGTAAAAAGAAGTCGAACACATTCTAAGAAACAATGAAAAACAGTTTCTCTCTGTGTACTGAAGGTGTTCTAGACACACAAGTATCTAGAACATTAGGATTGATCACAGAAAAAAAGCATTAACAGCCACAACACCATGAAGAACCCTCTGCTGTAAATCTCCAGCCCTCTTAGTCTTAACAGTGGTTTGCACAGTGATCTCCACTCAGGCCTCTGAGCCTCAACTCGATCTTTTAGCTTGTTCTGATTTAACACTTTTACCGATATATAAGACATTGTCGTTCCTACCATAGTGCTCAGTTTGTAATCAGCAACATTATTCACTTAGAACAAGAAACTAACATCACATTTGAAGACAGAATCAATTTTTACACCAGGAAAAGAATCATCATCAGACTCAATCAGTCCATTGCAAGGAGCAGCAGTCGGTAACAGTTCAGATTGAGTAAGCTGCCGTTTCCAGCCGTGCAGGGCTGGTCACCCTGACTGACCTGGTCCCGTTACCAGAGGCCAGACCAGCAGCATCGTCTAGGTGAGGGCAACACACCTCAACCACATGGCCCATTGTCATGATTTTGGCGTGGCACAGTTTCTGAAGTAGGGGCGGCCCTGCTTAACTATGGAGGCCTGTCCCATGAAGAACTAGCTCTTTAAGAAGCCAGAACAGAGAGTCACAGTTCTTTGGTCCTTCTTTCTGGGCCAGTGTCCACACTTTGAACAGTCCTTGAAAGTGGAAAAATTTGAAACCATGTAAATCCATTGACAACCACAAATTAGCTAGACCCAGACCACCCGCTCCAGTATGGCACGAGCTACAGGTCTCCAGACCAGATCTGCAGGTCGTGTCAGGAGTCATTGAATAAACTAGAGACTGAAGACTGCGCCCCCTGCTCGCCAAGTGGACAAGTCCATGTCCCCCTCCAACTTTGGCAGGAAAAGGAAACTGTGGGACCCAGTGCAGATGGTCCCAGTAGAAATCATCCACAACAGGCTGCACTCTGGACAGAAGGTTTACAGCAGGTGCCACAGCATGGAGGACACAATGTTATGAATAAAGATCTGGCCTTGAAAAGAACATTTTGGTAAAATCCACTTGCACTTTTTAAAATGGCCTTTAAATTTGTCTAAAAGATTGTCCCAGTTTTTAGAAGAGATGGTCTCATCTGCAAAATATGTAATCCCTCTTCCCTTCCACAGTAGGCTCCCCAAACCAAGCTTCAGGCTGTCACCAACTGCTTAGGCAGTTAATTTTAGCGGCAGAGAGTTTACCACAGTTAATTACATTTCTATTAAGAACATTAATATCATGTTGAGTTTTGACAAGAACAATTACATCATAAGCATATGCAGATCATTTAAAACCACACCCAGGAAAAGAGAGACCAGACAGATTAATACATCATTTGTGCAGAAAAGACTATGACAGACTATAACATAGAGGGCAACCCTCTCTGACTCCCCTTTGAACCTTAAAAAACAGAGGACTCAAACCACCATTAATCTTAAATACACTCTTAATGTCATTGTACAAAACCTTGATCTTGGCTAGGGGATCAGAGCTGAACTGGTGTTCAACTCGGTCAAAAGCCTTTTCTTGATCTAGAGAAATCAGACCAAGCTCACATGAAGCAAAGAGGTCCAAAATGTCCCACATCTAAGTAATGCTGTCAGATATCAATCTGCTGGGTACACAATATGTTTGTTCTACAAGAGTGACCTGATCCATCACTTTTCAGTTTATACTCTGTACAGAGTAAAGACACAGGGGCGCCAGTTCTTTAAATCCTGCAGGTCTCCTTTTTTGGAGGGAGGGTGAGGACAGCTGTCCTGCAGCTCAGAGGCAGCTGCCCCTTACTCAAACTGTCCCTTAGAACAATCATCAAATAATTGCGATAAATGGCCAGAAAGTCTTATAAAAATCTGCACGGAGATCATCTATCCCAGGAGCCTTCCTGCTCTGCAGGCTCTTCAGGGCCTCATGCAGCTCCTGAGCAGAGACTTTATATATGATGTTCAAAACAAAACACTTGATTAAGTCTGGCCAGGGATAACAGATTCTCTTTGGAGTGAACCCAGATGTATTGCTGCTGACTTTTATAAAAATGTCACCAAACATCGCACAGTTCGATGGTTTCTGCGAGACATTAGTTATAACAGTGTTAGCTTTTTATTTCTTTACTCAGAACTTACTTACTTTGAACAGATTAAAAAAAAAACATCATCCATCACAGGATGTTCTTCTGTCCTGTCTGCTCCTTTGCCTCAGCCTGAGTGCTGAGCTCATGCTGCTGACTCTGACACATTTATCGGAGTGTTCATCATCTTATTCACTGTGCTCACTGTCCTGTGTTCACCTCCCTGTGTGTCTGTCTCTATGTTATTCTGTGTGTTTTCTGTGTCATTCTGTCTATTATTATTGTGCTGTGTGTCAGTGTGTGCTGCTGACTGACCATCAGCTCTGACAGGTGGCTCTGCTGCAGATGCAGCAGCCTGACAGTCATTGGTGTCTTGGCAAGAATGGACAAAGTGTCCCTCTGCCTCACAAAACTTTTTAAAGTGTGTGAAGTGATTTAAACAGTGTAATCAAAACCATCAATATGGAAGGGAAATCTATTTCAATATATTGTTATTGTTTTTCTGAATCACAAACACCTGTCTTCTAAATGACATGACGTGTTCAAGGCGCAGAGATTTACAGCTGAAGGGATCTTTTTAAACGGAGACACTCCTTCTCCAACATCTCATTATTACAAACGGCAGCACATTAGAAACGATCACGTTCTTTGCAGGGTTTACAAGAGATAACACCGGAGTCAGTGTTCCCTGAATCACAACTCCACTTTCAACCAACTGAATCACTTTCTGTGTTGTCTAGAAAAATGACAACAACACTGTTCATTCTGGAGGCAGACTTCAAACTGCCATTACCCACAACTGCAAGGCTGCACTCCTCCACTGAGACACAATAAGCCGGCAAAACTTTGATGGTCCTCGAGTGAGTTTCTCCAACCGGGAGGCGCGTCACCGTCGTACTCTCCGAAAAGCTCTCTGAAGCTCTCTAGCCAATCAAACGACAGAGTTGGTGTTTGAATCAATGGATGGACTCTGAATCTCATTCCATCAGACTTGCATGTGTTTGATAATTTCATTAACCTTACAACACTTTGTCTCTGTTCCAGGGTTGGAGAAAGTCGGCCGTGACTCCACCTACGAGCAGGAGGGGAAAGTGCAGTTTGTGATGGACGCTGTGTATGCCATGGCCCACGCTCTGCACCACATGCACCGCGAGCTCTGCGCCGGATCCCCCGGGCTGTGTCCGCGTATGGCCAACATCGATGGCAAGGAACTGCTGGCTCACATCTGCACCGTTAACTTCAATGGTAAGAGGAGCACCGGCTTCATCACTCACGTCATCATTCTCCATCACAATTATGGTGTTTTTCAGCTAATTCATATTAATTTCCTTTCAATGCCAATGTTGCTCCCAGGTCTTGTACTTCAGGTTTTTATTTCAAATTAGTTAAGGGGTCAGAATGAGTTGGGTTGGGTGCTGAACCAAAGTTACAGAGGAACAAATGTAAGGGTATTTTATTTCTTTATTATTGACATAATTCAGTGCTTTTTTATTTAAAAAATAAATATGAGGATAAAACCCTTGAGATGCAACATGTCATTTTCAAGGGGGTGTTCAAACACAGGACATTAGTTAGCTAGCAGCCAAACAAACAAATTAAATAAATAAATACACAAATAACAATGACGACAAATGAAACAATCTAGTGACACATGACAATCAACACAATAGCATCAACAGGACAAACACACTTGGGCTCAATTTCAAACCACAACTACTACATCATTTCAATAGTCATCAGAAAAAAAACCCATAAATAAATGAAGCAAAGATGAAACGGTTGAATAAAGCAAATAAAATCTCAGAAATGTTGAGTCTAAGCTAGAACAGAAGCCCGATATAATAAAACACAAGAGCAATAAGTGGTAGATTTAAGATTTAAGACCATGTTTGTACCACAAGTCTGAAATACTGAATCAACAGCTTTTTCATTGAATTTCCTACAATTCTTTTCACAGACATAAAATTCAACCAGGTTTAGGTTTATTTAAAGGTTGGGTCTACACAGAGCATATCTTTAGATACTCTTCCAAGTCCGACAGGTTAAAGGTTATATCACATCTTACTCAGTAACATTGACAATTGAGATGGAAGGAATCACCAAACTAAATGTGATGCACAACACAACAGACTGGTTGTACTGGGTCGCTTTAGTTGCTATTGAATATGTCCACATTTGTCCAAGTGCTGAAAACAGGTCAACTTGACTTGGTTGAGTTGACCTGTTGTCAGCACTTGGATATACCATGACCTGGATGACTGAGAATCTCCTCAGACATTCCACACCTGCATGAACACCACATTTTCAACAGTTTATTTATCTATATATCTAAGAAGTGATTGTCTGGTGTTTCTCCATCTTTCACTGATATGAACAGTGTGATGCTGCAGCAAGAGGGACTAAACACAGAAAACATGATCAAATAGATTATTAGTCATCCTGACCTTTTATCAGTGTCTTATTTTGTAACGACTCATTCACTTTCCCTTCATTCATCCCTCTATCTCCTCTTCATCTTATTCTCTTCCTTGTTTTCATGGTCTGAGCACTCCTCAACGTGGCTCGTCTCTCAGCGGGCGGGGTCCTTTGTCAGCAGGAAGCGTGAATGCTGACGTCGTCATAGGGAAAATACTCCACTCATTACTAAACTCCCAATATGGTCGCCCGGTTTAGTTTCCTCTGATTCCCACATTCATTATTCTCTGCTCAGTTGGAGCGGCTGCAGTCTGATGATCCATCTGCTGTTACACGGGTTTAATGATCACAACAGTTTGCAGTCTCAGCTGTGGGATATTCTATCTCACAGTATGTGCTGAGATGTTATAGTTACACAACTACTGACACAGTGACTCTGTAACATCCCTGATATAATAAAAAGTCCTGCCCATATCATAGAACGCTGGATCATGGCTCCTGTCGCTTTGCTTGTGCTAGCTTGGCTGCAGGATCAGGGCAATGTAACACATACGCCACTGAATATCACGGGTCAACGTTCATCAAAGTTGAACTCTATCAACACCACGCTGCCATTTGCTTCACCATCAGAAGCAAATATTTGTTATCACACAACCTGCGAACATCCACCTGTCCTCCTCAGGAAAAGGTGATAGGAGGACTACTGGCTGAAGTGACTACAGTTGATGTCCCTTTGCATTTGTTGATGCATGATGATTACTACAATGCATGATCAGCTAATCTGGGTGCTAAGTAAGAAGATAAAAAATAGTATTGTAAAAATCAATCAATGTTTTACTGGTGTGAATAAGCGTTTATTGTCAGTCCTTAGTAGGAGATCACTAAGAAGCAAGGAAGGAGGAAAGAAGCACTTCCTTGCTGCATAGAAGAAAAATATATAGTCACTTATCATTTCATTGGTTTTCTTCCCCCCTGTTTGTGTCATGTCCTCATGCTTTCAAACTGTCTCTTTCTGGTTGAGTCAAGGCCATCCGTGGGTTTCACAGCAGCTTTAAAGAAGCCAACTTCCCCACTCACTTCTATGCACTGGCTTTTATCCCCAAGGCCGGCTTCTCTTTCACCACCCAACGAGAACATTTTCTTTATAGTTTAAATGGAAAACATGTTCCACACACATTCTTCAGTTGTTCCACTCCTGCTGAAGCTGAATGTTTCAATGTGTCTCATTACAAAATGTTCTCGACTCTTAGTATAAATATATACCTGCATATATGTGTTTTCTCCGGGACAGTCCAGTTTCCTTCCACATTACAAAATAAAAAATAATTTGGATAAAAAGCTGATTTTTCTGGATAGTGGTCGAGGAATATTGTAGTTGTCTTTTGGCGGCCAATGTCAAGAATTTGAGACAAATTGTCAATTAAAAATTCAGATTCTGTGTTGTTGTTCTTTACATCGAAAGGTTCAGTGTGTAGAATTTAATGACATCTACTGGTGAAGTTGCATGTTGCAGCTTTATACCCCTCACCCTCCCCATCCAACATGAAAGAAAACCCGTGGAAGCCTTCACTTGTTATAAAATCTCAAAAGGTGTTTAGTTTGTCCAGTTTGGATGACTGTAAAAAGCATGGTGGTGTTCTTAGAGAGAACCCTCTCCTGATGTAAATGTTAAGTTTTTAGATATAAAGGGCTCATTCTAGGGTAAAGAAAACAGCCATTTGTAAAATTCAAATGAAACACACTAGTGAGTGAGAGTAAGAAATCTCTATCCCCTAATATCAACCATCAACTAGATATGCATGGATGTGTTGCTACAAACAAATGTCAAAATATCAATAAGAAGTCATTGTATTTCTGAAACCATGTTTCTCTCTATAGTTTTACAATATCAACATAAGTACTGAGTGGCGCAGCACTTTATTGTGAAAGTAGATATTATATCCACCAGGTGAGGAAGACTGGAGCAGGTGCAGTAAATCACTTTTTTTTTTTTCCTGTTTAATCAACATATTTTATTTAATCAAGGAAATTTCCCTGAGAACATTGCTCTCTAGTGAGCCCAAGTACTCTCAGAAGTACTCTCAGATGTTTGGACTCTATAACCTTTGTCCTGCTGTATAGCCTTAATCTAATAGTAACGGGTTGCAGCTTCTGTGCAGCACACTTGCATCAATCCTGGCTCAGCAGTGTGTAGCTCATGTGTGGTTTGTGCCTGATTGAGCTTTTTAAGGCATACACACACAAACATGCGCGCACACACACACACACACACACACACACACACACACACTCATGTCATGCTGTATTTGGGGCTTTCCTGTGTGAATGTGTGAACAGCATGCTCAGTTGAACCTTCACATACATCAAACGTTGACATAAATCAAACTCGAGCTGCTCCTCTGTATTTTATGCTTCACTTCACTGAGCACGGGGCAGCGGGGTTACCCATAATTCCATGTATGAAATGCAGAAAATCCAGGACGATGAAGCGGTGGCCGGGGGGCTAATCGCTAAGTCACCCGTGTGCTCCTTGCTTGCGTGCTTATTTTTAGAGGAGCATTGGGAGGCTAATCGAGACACTTTTGCTAATGTTAGCAATCGCTGTGCTAAAGCCATCTGCATGAGGCTTTTTTTGTAATGTCCCGTTAGAATGCAATCAGCGGAGCAGCGGGGGAGCGAGGCGGGGGAAAGAGGTGGGGGCAGGACGTCAAGGCTATCCCCCCCGATTCCTTTGGACAGCACATGCTTATTACTAAAAGGCTATAAAAGCTTGTTTTTTCATTGAGATGCAACACGGCCGACCCTGTGGAGCTGCTCGAGGAGGAACCCTTCACATCCAGACCAGTGGTGGAGGGAAGGATGGGGAGGGGGTAATGTAGGTGTCTGAAATGATGAATATGTGAAGAGCTCCTGCCGTGGTTTCACTTTAATTATGCACCTTTTTATAACCAAACATAGGAGACATCCAGAGAGAAGTTTGTCATTGTAATCTGCGAACCGGAGTATTAAAGGAATAGCTGGAATTATGTTTTTGTAATAATGCTGAACCGTGAATGCCATGTCGAGTGATTGGTGGCCTGGGCCACACTGGGTGCACCTGCAGCGTGTGACGGCTGCATTACTGATCTGCTGCATCTCGCACTTGTCACACACAGCTGCAGAGCTGCTATGTGAGGTTTCTGATATGACTACTGTATTTCATTGAATAAAAGTAGGATTTTTAGGACTCAACAGTATCAAGCTGTGCATCTTCCAGTCCTTTAAATATTTCCCATCTCATGCAGGCAGTGTGGCTGCTCTGACCTGAACACATGGGCACCAAAATTAAAAGAAAGACTTTTGCACAGGCTGCTAACACGTCCAGTTTGGCCTGAGTATAAGTTGACAAAGCCAGAAACCTTTCCATTTATTTTCCATTTCCTGGGGCATTATCAACAGTAGCACCAAAGTGTATTTATCTCGATAGACCTATGATCAGTCAGGCAGCAAAACATGTCAACATGTGATGTTACACATTGCAGCCATCTTAGTTAATTAAAGATCATGTCAAATCAACATTCCCTGAATGTGATTGGTCCATAAAGCTCCTTTTTTCCAGCACACATGAAAACACAGAGCAGACATTTTAAGATCTGTCTTCTCTCAGGGTAGTTTAGAAATGCTCTATCAAATTCTTAAATTGAACTGGCTTAAGGTGAATATATCTGATGTGATATCCCTTCACATCAGAAGGGAGGCAGGCAACAGTCTGTGTTCAGTTTCCCTCACTGACCTGATCACATGAGCTGAGAGGACACTGACTCACTGAACACTAGAGTTTCACTGGATAC